AACCAAATTTTTTACCAACAAAAACCTACAACTAACTTGCATTTATTTTCAGACATGCTTTTCAAAATGGTAACGGTTATTCACAATTTTTTAGTCAGGTCAAATTTGGAAATAACACTACTTTTCCCTTCGAAATCCTAAAATACCACAGAAAAGAGGTGGGGCTTTTTTTCTAAGACTTTAAATACTATTGGGAATCTATCAATTTTCCTTGGAATTAGATTACTTTGAACCAAACGTTGAAATCAAATACCCAATAGTAAGATTTTGAAAGAAAATGTTTAGATTTTCCCGAACCAAATGCCTCATTATTGTTATCAAACAAACGAATAATAAATGAACAAGTATTAAACGAACCTTAAATGAGCTTATTCGTGAACTTAAATGAACGAACAGACAATTTTTCGTGTTCGGTTCGTTTAATAAACGAATGTACAAAGGTGTTTAAGATCATTTGTTAAGCTTAATAAACGAATATAAACGAACAAAAATCGAACATGCCACAAACAGTTCATCGAAAGCTCTATTTGCTTACACCCCTAGTTGAAGTCATAACAAACATTGAGGCTATACCAATTGACATGAAAGGGGTGAGGATAGAATTGTGTGGCCAAAAACTGGTAATGGCATGTATACTGTAAGGAGTGGCTATCAAGTATATAAGGAAAGAGAGATGCCAATATGCATGCCAAAACAATCGTTTTCCCATTAGGTGGGCAATGAGGTGTGGTGCTTGCTATGGAAACTAAAAATTCCACATAAGATAAGGAATTTTTTTTGGAAAGTTTACTCTAATGCTATAGCTGTAAGGAGGAATCTGTGGCAAAGAAAAAATATGTGAGGAGCCAGTTTGTGCTATATGTGGAAAAGAAGAAGAAACAGCATAACATGTATTATTATTATTATATGAACGGGTGAGAGGTGTGTGGTTTGCATTTGGGCTGGGGTATAAGGTTGAAAAAAGTAGAATCACAATGCTGATTGTTGGCTTAAGGAAGTTTTAACAATGGTAGACATAAAAGAGGAATAAAAGAGCTACTTGGCAATTGTAGTCCCATTTATATACTGGTATATCTGGAAAGGAAGATGTAATGCAAATCAAAATATAAGGAAGCCTGATGCATTGACCATGGTGAGAATTGGACAGGCTGCAATAATGGAGTTTATAAATGCTCAGATTGGTTGTGAAAGGAGGAAAGTAGGCCAGCAAAAGCATGGAAAGTCAGAAAATTGGGGAAGGCCAGATGTTAGATAGGTTAAAGTAAACTGTGATGGAGCATTTAAAAAAAATCTTTTGTCTGCTAGAATTGGTGTTGTAATAAGGGATGAAACTAGAAAACTGATAGAAGGAACTGGCAGAGTAATTTGTGTGAAATCCAGCATTGAAATAGAAGCTTTAGCAATAAGGGAAGGAGTGTGGTTAGCTTGGAGACAAAAGTTCCCAAAAGTGGTATTGGAAATGGACTCTGAGATTCTCTATAACCATATTAATCAAACAAGTTTAGAACATGAATGGAGAATCAAGCCAATGGTTCAAGATATATTAGCAGGTATCAGGAGAATGAAAGGAGTAAAGGTTGTATGTGCTGACAGAAAAGCTAACAAAGTGGTGGATTGGATTGCTGTCCAATTCAAAAAGAAGATGTGCCTGAGTAACTGGGTAAATGCACCCCCATCTTCTTTGGTATTCATACTTGACAAGGATGGATTAAAAAACCCCTCCATAGTTGTGCAGTAAAAGTATAAAGATATGCTGGGAGGTAATATTATAGATTTCAGTAGCTATATGTGTTATAGTAGATGTGGTTAAAAGTGTAATGGATTGTTCTGAATGAATATAAAGTTTTGAATTGGAAAAAAAAATTGTACAAGATAATTTCCTTTTTAAAAATTTCCCCATTAAATCTTTTCTTTTTTTTGTGAGATGCCCACTAAATTATTATTCATTACTGGAGGAGCAATATTTGATGCATTAATTTAGTTGAGAGTTTTATGATTATCGAATCTTTGTTTTCAACCCAACATGTAAAATACATAAAACTTTTATCAATTTTTAGCCATTATACATTGCATAATATTTTTAGAAGCATAAAAAAATTTGAGATAAAGAAAAAAGGTAAGTACAGTCAATTCAATAACAAAAATCGTTAGCATGAAAAGATAACTTTGAATTTGCTTTCTTTTTTGGAAAATCATGTAATATTTTCGTAACATTATCTTATTAAGAAAGATGTTCCTTTTTTAGTTATAAATCTTTCAATTTCTAATATAAGAATAAATTATCCTATAAGTCATTAATTTGGCTCAATTTTTTTCTTTTTATAATACAGTACTCGATCAGTGAAAGTATTTTTATACTTTGCTAATTGAGTCTATTTTTCTTTTGGAACAATCTTAAAAATATAATTTATCACATTAATTTGATAAATATAAAATTTTATCCTCAAATCACAAAAATCAAATTTGGTAAAAAAAAAAAAGAATTCATCTCTTGCCCATTGGATTAAAGCTTGTGGGTTTGCCCAAATTATTTTATTGTTCAGAAGACAAATAGTGCATGAAATATTCACAATTATTCATGGAATAAATATAGTAATTTTTTCAGTTAGTCCAAATTATATGCTAGTAATTCATTATGGGAAAGGAAAAAACTTAAATCCCAAGAGGTCATTTGGTATTGTCGTGTGTTTTATGTTTTATATTTTTGAAAATTTTAGTTTGTTTTGTTTTATTTTTAATTTATTAAATTTGAAAACATATTGGATAGAATGTTTTTGTTTTAGAAATGTGAAAACAAAAATATGTAAGAGAAATTGGTTAAGACTTTTAGGCTCTGTTTGTTATTAATAATATAATAATATTAGTATAATATTAGTTATTCGTTAATATATTATTTATTTGTTAATATAATATTATTTATAATTATATAATAAAAATATTATTTATTAATATAATAATTATAACATCACTGTAGCGATTTCCTTGTAATTTTTGTGAATAGTACTCATATAATAATAATTTCAAATTATTTCTAAAAAACTGAAAACATTAAGCAGCAATTGGTTAAGGAAAATATTTTTTTATTTGTTATTTTTATTTTTTGAAAATATTTGTGAATTTTAAAAAACATGTTTAGGACACAAAATAAAAATTTGTTTTCAAAAATAAAAATTATGAAAATGTGTTTGGTATTTGTATTTTTATAAGTAAAGCAAATTACTTTAAGAGAAGTTAATTATGTAAAACGCTCAAAACTTAAAAGCATTACATAATACAATGGGCAAAACATTGTACAAAAATTGGGAGAAAAATCAAGTGTACTAATTAAAATATATTGATTCAACCAGATCAAGTGTAATATTAGTGAGATCAAACCTATTTAGAACAATGCTTGTATTGAGTTAACATGGAAAAATCATTAAACGAATTATATTGCTGTAATCTCAACTACAAATAAAAAAAATGAAATAATCTTCCTAATAATAATGGATAGCAAAATCCAAAATTATCATTCAAACTCCATAAATCCACTCAGATCTTAGAACAACCCCAAAACCAAATCCTCAGTGTCACCAGAAACCAGCCTTCAATGCTGCAAAACCACTTGTAGAAGCAATGTCAGGATCCTCAATTTCCGTCGGAGAAGGTGCTGAGGAGATTCTAGTGTATTTGTGCTCCTGACTTTTCAAACTTAACCTTGGTTTTTCCATCCTTGTGCTCTGCAATTGGGTTTGAGGTATTACAGCTTGCATAAGCCTCTTTGGTCACTTGCAACACTAAGTCTTTGCCACCATCATGTTCCTACACTAACAAAAACACCAAAAAGTAATTAGAAAAACTCAAGTAAAAAACAGTCCCACAAAGTGAAGCGCATCATCGTATTAAAGCTCAGAAAAGGTAGATTTATTACCGAAAGGGTTGCCAATTCGAAAATGGGAATTTTAAGCCTATTTGTTGAGAGAGTCTGATTCAGAGGATGGGATCTTCCTAGCGTTTGTCTTCCCATCAACCAAGATTTCTCTAACATCTGTAAAGCTTACAAATAGAAACAAGAGCACCAAAGAAGTTAGCCTTCTTGGAAAAGCGACCATGGAAAATCAGGTTTTGGAAAAAATAAACAAAAATAGCAGTGGAGGAAGTGAAACAAATTTGGATAAAACTGCCATCGGAAAAAGAGAAGTGAAACAAATTTTTGCAGAACAATCTATTCGAAATTAGGACTTTTGCCCTAAAATTGAAAAAAAATTTAAAGTCACGTGTTTTCATGTTCTCCATTTCTCTCAAACATTTTTATTGAAAACATAGAAATTTTTTTTTTATTCTCTAAATTTACTCTATTTTCATTTTTTTCCAAAAAAGAGTTTTTGTTTTTTCAACTTTTTTTCACTTATTCTCTATCTTTTATGAAAATAAAAATAGAAAACAGAGATATTTTCATAAATTAAACACACATTTATTTTTTAATTTTCAATAATTTTCAAACTTTTTAAAATTTTGCTTTTCAATTTTCAAAAAATAAAAAACAAAAATAACCTATCAAACATTTTTTATTTTTAATTTTAAAAATAAATAAAAATTAAAAAAACCGAAAATATTACAGACGACCCCTAAATTTTCTTCCTTTTATATATATATATATATACATATATATATATATATATATATTAGTACCATGCAATGCTTGTATATATAGCTATTTAACATACATAATATATGTCAGGTGGAGGCATGATTCCTTGAATGATGATAGTGTGATGATGATCCATAGAGAAACCGACAACTCACCGGTAAGAGGAGAGAGAAAGGTGTGGAAGAGAAATGGTGAACGCAAAGGCAAGGTCCCACACCCACCCTAGGAAGTAAAGGAGTTGGAAAGAGACTCTCTTCTGTCCTTTGAGAATTTTGAGAGCTATATATAAAGGCTGGGGCCTTCCATTCTTCTTCAAAGGGAAAACAAAAGCCTCAGGAAAAACTCTCTTTTTGGCTATCCCCACTCATACCGCAAACACAACCCCCCCCCCCCCCCCAATCCTTTTCTTTTTCCTTTTGTTTCTTGGGATTCTGAAAATCTCATTAAATGGTCTTTACTTTCTCACCCCAGACCCAATCTCTGCATTCATTTCACAATTCTAGGAGATTTTAATTGCTCTTTTTTTTTTAATCTTGCTTTTAATTTGAGTACCCTTTTGTTAAGCTGCTGCCGCTGCTGCTGTTGGCTGTTAGAAACAAAACATGGGTGGTGACAAAGCCATCAGTCTTGAAGAGATCAAGAACGAGACTGTTGATCTGGTAACTATTCATTTCCATTTTTTTTTTGTTGCATGCAATTTCTTCTTTCTGATTAAAAAAATTGGGTTTTTTTTTTTCTCAGTTATCTAAATTTCCGTCTTTTGCCGAGCTGTTTACTTTGTTATCTGTGAATGAGATCTACAAGGGGCTGCTTTTTCAGCCCATGTTAGTGTTTTTCTCTTTTTGGTCTCTTAGGCTTTCCCCCGTGGCTTAGATGAGTTAGAGCGGGAGACTCATGGAATTTCCTTTTCATTTTCCCAACAAAAGTTGTTCACTTTGCCGTACTGATAATGAAAAAAGTAATATTTTTTAGCCCCTCCTCTCTCTCTCTCTCTCTCTCTCTCTCTTTTTAACTCTATTAGTGAAGGCCCTTTCCAATAGCCGTTTTGTTTCACAAAAATTTCACCCTTTGATTAAGTTGATATCCAAATTATAAATTTGTTGAATTTAATGTCTTTTAGATTGGAAATTGGAGGTTTAAAAGTCAAACAAATAATCCGATTTCGTCAAAAAAAAAAGTCAAATACATAGAGCTGTACCATGTAGTACTAAAATGGAGAGAGGTCCTCTTCTATCCATGTGACAAACATGTTAAAAATATTAATAAATATGAAAGTAAAGATATTGTCTGATTTTGAATTGTTGGAATATTTACAAATGATATAAAAATAACAAATTTATAATTTTATCAACAAATCATTTTGGGTCATATATAATCAAACTGAGGAAAAAAACTACTGGTATTTTCTTTCCTTTTTTTTTTTTTTTCTCTAGTCAAAATTGGATGCAAACATGTGAAAAAGAGGGAAATGACATGGTAGTGACTGAGTTGGCTACATTTTAATCTTTTCCTTAACACCTATTTTGATTAAGTTTTTTTGTCTGTGTTTTCATTGAGAGTGGTCTGCTTGTTTTGTTAGTTTGGGAATTTCAGGTGCTTTTCTGTGGTACGTTTGTCTTTTCCCTCTTTAGAATTCAGATTTTCCTTTTTCTTCTATTTTTTGGACGTAAAAAAGAAAATTTTAATTCCTCTCTCACATTTAACGGCGCTGACACTACCTGCGCTTTCTCTTGGATTCATCAAATCCGCCCTTTCTTTGTTAATTTTGTTAAATATTCTTCACACAATCAGTTAATTTTTTTTACTATGTATAAAAAAACTAAAATTTTATTTGAATATGTTTGCTCTAATTTTGATACACGGTACTTAGAATGGAGCGTGGATTACACGGACCTATCACATGTTGAAAAAGTGGGGACTGTCCCCATCTCCTGACAAGTGACCTTTTTGATCGGCTTGAGTCAACGCTTTTAATTCATATGGGTAGCATCCCGAGGCCCGGAGTTATAACCCAATGAGTCACGAGTCCACTCGGTCCACCTGACCTATTCGGCTCGGAAAAATATTTATGAAATTTCGGTCCAATATCATATTCTAAGGTTTATCTGATGCAAATATTGTAACTATTAATAAGACTCAAAATGATTAAAAATTAGATTGTTTGACTTTTTTGTGGTAATGTTCTTGCTTTGCAGGAAAAAATCCCAATCGAGGAAGTGTTTGAGCAGCTGAAATGTACCAGAGAAGGATTGACGTTGGAAGAGGGAGCCAACAGGCTTCAGATTTTTGGACCCAACAAGCTAGAAGAGAAAAAGGTCTTACTATTATTATGATAAGGATACATCTTGACCTTAAATTGCTTAAAGACCTAATATTGATTGCTCATAATTTGGAATATTATATTGTTAAATGATCAGGAAAGCAAAATTCTCAAGTTTATGGGGTTCATGTGGAATCCCTTGTCATGGGTCATGGAAGCTGCTGCCATCATGGCCATTGCTTTGGCTAATGGTGATCGGAAGCCCCCAGATTGGCAAGACTTTGTTGGTATTGTTTGTCTGTTGGTAATTAACTCCACCATCAGTTTCATTGAAGAAAACAATGCTGGCAATGCCGCTGCTGCTCTTATGGCTGGTCTTGCCCCAAAAACCAAGGTAAAAGCGAGATTTATTGATACCCTTTTTATGCAGGAGTTATTATTATTATTATTTTTTACTGAATGACAGCTAAAAGAAGGCAAGTTCTCATGCAAGAAATAGTCAAGAAAGATTCTAGATGTTTTAAAACCGTTACATAAATTTATGCACATGGTGGATGATCTGATGGCTGGTTATGTCCAAATGCATATGTCAGAAAGTTTGTGATGGCTAAGAGTTATTTTAGTGATTTGAAGGTTTATTTTCGTTTTGAATATAATGAGATTGATTGTGAATTTTAATGGTGGTAAAATATAGGTGCTTAGGGATGGCAAATGGTGTGAGCAAGAAGCAGCAATTCTGGTTCCAGGAGACATCATTAGCATTAAATTGGGAGACATCATCCCCGCAGATGCCCGTCTTCTTGAAGGTGATCCCTTGAAGGTTGATCAATCTGCCCTAACAGGTGAATCACTTCCCGTGACCAAGAATGCTGGGGATGAAGTCTTCTCTGGTTCAACTTGCAAACAGGGTGAAATTGAGGCTGTTGTTATTGCTACCGGTGTTCATACCTTCTTTGGGAAGGCTGCACATCTTGTGGATAGCACCAACCAAGTGGGACACTTCCAAAAGGTGCTCACAGCTATTGGAAACTTCTGTATTTGTTCCATTGCCATCGGTATGTTGGTTGAGATCATAGTCATGTATCCCATTCAGCACCGCAAGTACAGGGATGGTATCGACAATCTATTGGTTCTCTTGATTGGTGGTATTCCCATTGCTATGCCCACTGTTTTGTCTGTGACCATGGCCATTGGATCTCATAGGCTGTCTCAGCAGGGTGCTATCACCAAGCGTATGACTGCCATTGAAGAAATGGCTGGTATGGATGTCCTTTGTAGTGATAAGACAGGAACATTGACACTTAACAAGCTGAGTGTTGATAAAAACTTGATTGAGGTGTTTGTAAAGGATGTGGATAAGGAGCATGTTGTCCTGCTTGCTGCAAGGGCCTCTAGAACTGAAAATCAAGATGCCATTGATGCTGCCATAGTTGGAATGCTTGCTGACCCTAAGGAGGTATACCAATTTCTTCTCTCTTCTGTTTCTGTTACTTGATTCTGCTAAAAGGCTAAAATGAAAAGAGAAATAGCTCCTAGATGAGTATTTATGTTCGATATGCTATTCATACAGGCAAGAGCTGGTATTACAGAGGTTCACTTCTTCCCTTTCAATCCTGTGGACAAGAGAACTGCTTTGACTTACATTGATTCCAATGGCAACTGGCTTCGAGCAAGCAAAGGTGCTCCTGAACAGGTAACCTTATTATTATGATTTGCCGCTGGTAATATAGGAAAATTTATGGGGCGTTTTGTGACTTAATTGTTTCATATCTGTTGACAGATCTTGGCCCTTTGCAATGCAAAAGAAGATCTTAAGAAGAAGGTTCATTCTATTATTGACAAGTTTGCAGATCGTGGTCTTCGGTCGTTAGCTGTTGCAAGACAGGTTTTTCTTGAAATCACGATGTTCTAATCACTGTTCTGTTATACTAAAATTGAAATTTCCCCTGACCCCTGATCATTTGCTATACATTCAGCAAGTGCCAGAAAAAACAAAAGAAAGTGCTGGTACTCCATGGCAATTTGTTGGTTTGTTGCCTCTGTTTGATCCTCCAAGGCATGACAGTGCAGAAACCATTCGCAGAGCTCTTAATCTTGGTGTTAATGTCAAGATGATCACGGGTAATTGAATCCTTCTATAATTTCATCTATGCACAATTCCATCACTAGTACTTCATTCTTTGAGGCAATTGCTCACCTATGCTTTTGTATTATGTCCAGGTGATCAACTAGCCATAGCAAAGGAGACTGGCCGCAGACTTGGAATGGGAACAAACATGTATCCATCTGCTTCTTTGCTAGGTCAAGACAAGGATGCAAGCATAGCAGCTCTTCCTGTGGAAGAGTTGATTGAGAAGGCAGATGGGTTTGCTGGCGTCTTTCCAGGTAACTGGTTTTGGCATTTTGGCTATTCACGAGCAAGGAATTTTTCTTTCTTTTTTTATTCACAAGCAATTTACCTGTTTATGACACTCACTTTACAGAGCACAAATACGAAATTGTGAGGAAGTTGCAGGAGAGGAAGCACATTTGTGGAATGACTGGAGATGGTGTTAATGATGCTCCTGCTTTAAAGAAGGCGGATATCGGTATTGCTGTGGCTGATGCTACAGATGCCGCACGAAGTGCTTCAGATATTGTTCTTACAGAACCTGGACTGAGTGTCATTATCAGTGCAGTGTTAACTAGCAGAGCTATTTTCCAGAGGATGAAGAACTACACTGTAAGTTGCTCTCTTCTCTTTAAACATAATCTAAATATTTATGCTGTATATTTTGCAATGCATGACTTTGCTTTCTTTACTTTGACAGATCTATGCAGTCTCCATCACAATCCGTATTGTGGTAAGTGCATAACAAATGATTTTATATGAATTAATTATTAATAACTTCAAGCTGCAGGTATCGATTCATATATGTGACCTTTTATTTCTGATTTTGTAGTTTGGGTTTATGCTTATTGCTCTCATCTGGAAGTTTGACTTTTCTCCATTCATGGTTTTGATCATTGCCATTCTAAATGATGGTGAGATTTTATAAAATGTATTATTACGTAATGCATCTTGTTCTTGTTTTCTGTCCTTAACTGGCTTGAAACAGAGTATTAACACCAATCAATTTGAATATTACTCAGGAACTATTATGACAATCTCAAAGGACAGAGTAAAGCCATCTCCCTTGCCTGATAGCTGGAAACTGAAAGAAATTTTTGCCACTGGAATTGTTCTTGGAGGCTACTTGGCATTAATGACTGTCATATTCTTCTGGGCTGTGCATGATACTGACTTCTTTTCGGTAGGTGGTGCTGAAAGTTTGCAGTTTATATTTAGTGAAGGATTAGAAGTTCATTTTTTTTAATATTTCGGTTTAGTCTTTAACAGTTTCTATCCATGAATGCAGGACAAATTTGGCGTTAGGTCTCTAAGGGACAAGGAGTATGAAATGACGGCTGCTTTATATTTACAAGTGAGCATTGTGAGCCAGGCTTTAATTTTTGTGACTAGATCACGTAGCTGGTCATATGTTGAGCGTCCTGGACTGCTATTGGTTTCTGCATTCATTATTGCACAGCTGGTAAGAACTTACTTTTCCATATATCCAATCTTGAGCACGATGAAAATATGTATCATACACTAAGCTAATCAATGGTGTTTGTTAGGTCGCTACTGTGATTGCTGTATATGCTAACTGGGGATTTGCAAGGATTAAAGGAATTGGATGGGGATGGGCTGGTGTCATATGGCTTTACAGTGTTGTTTTCTACATTCCACTGGATCTAATGAAGTTTGCCATTCGTTACATCTTAAGCGGAAAAGCTTGGCTCAACTTGCTAGAAAATAAGGTATACCTATCTTACATTAGATTACTTCAAAAAAATAAAACTTTCCTACCAGTTGTTTGGTTTACTAAACTGGCCCTGGTAACAGACTGCATTCACCACCAAGAAAGATTATGGAAAGGAAGAGAGAGAAGCTCAATGGGCTCTTGCTCAAAGGACATTGCATGGGCTTCAACCACCAGAAACTACTAACCTCTTCACTGACAAGAGCAGCTATAGAGAGTTGTCCGAGATTGCTGAGCAGGCGAAGAGACGTGCAGAGGTTGCAAGGTACAGATTCAGTTATTCTTCCTAAGCATTTACAAACTACCACATTGAAATATTTCTTTGAAGAACCAATAATAGCTTAAAATTTTCATCTTTGTAATTTAAATCTGCTGGCACAATTATGGATTCTAGTTTTAACAACAAATTTTATTTTCCTTGTCCGCTTATAGGCTTCGAGAGCTTCATACCCTCAAAGGGCATGTCGAGTCAGTGGTGAAGCTGAAGGGGCTGGACATTGATACCATCGAGAAGCATTATACAGTTTAGAAACTGGAACAATGCTTGAAAGCTAAGGTTGCAGTTAAATGAAATATGCAGGCCATGAAGAGAAAGGAGAACTGATTAGTTTAAACTTCCTAGATAGGGACAACATGTATGGGGTATAATTTTCGTCTCCTGTTTACTTTTTCCTTTCTTATGTAATACAAGGCTGGAAGAAAGGGTTGTGTTTGGTCATTTCTTGCTCCAATAAGGAGCCATGTAATGTTCCATGTTGCACAGTTTCTGGCTTCGAAATCTACTTTTACCTTGGGTTTTCTATGGTCTTTGATTCTTGTATACGCTCTACATTTCTGGTTGCGCAAAGCTAACTGCCTGGCAACTATTGAATGCCAAAAAATAATCGGTGGTTGAAATTCACGTCAGTATATCGAATGAACAAAATTGAAAAGGAGCGCACGGTTGCACCATACTGTAGTCGTCGCCTACCATTTTTGGATGTTGCCTTTTCTCTTTCTGGATAAGTGATAGGTATTTGCTTCATGCAAAATGCAATCCATCACTGATGATGCATGCAGGTTTTTGGGTTCCGTGGTTGACTTGTTTTAAAGCTGCTATTTATATATATTTATATATATTTTTCCTCTAACCTTTGCTGTAATATAACCTTCATAGCTGCTGCTATGCCTATATGATGACCAAAATATCAGCAATACGATTCTTTTGTCTGTGGCAAAAGCCCACTTGCAGTACTGTGTCTGACTAAGATGACAAACTTAAAGTTATAAGAAAATTAAAGGCCGTGGATAATATATCCCATAATTTCAATTCAACATCTTCTAACATTTGTCAGTTTCCAAATCAAAGACCTATCTACGTTTGCTTTTGCTCAACAATTAATTACTTTGGAGCAAGGATGAGGATCACAACTTGAAGCAGACTTTCAAAATAAGACAAAACCTAACCCATCCACAATATTAAGTGAAAATGTGAATTAATTTGCTCAAAGCACGAATAATGATTTAAAAAAAAAAAAAAACCTGAGTATTTGTCCTTTCATAAGAATCAATTCAAAATTATGTTTAAATAATTAAACTCATAGTTGGACGAAAATCATTTGCATTCATCATTTTTGCTTCGTTTTTGTAACTAAAAATAACTCTTAATTACTTTAACTATTTTTTCTCTTAATTTATATAAATTAGATAAGGTGAGAATTATTAAATCTACTTTGCATTCAAAGATTGTGAATGCAACAACTGTTTTTCTGATCATGTTGGGTACAATCATAAAAAGTAATATTTATTTTCTTTATATTTTTTCTTTTTTTTTTAATTTTCTTTCATTTTCCTAATTTCCTTATTACTATTTTTACACAATCATATGGTTGTACTGTAGCAAATTATTCAGACTATTTTTTTGTCTTAGATTTGCACCCACATGAGGCTTATATAATGAATACAAAACTAGCAGTTAAAAGTGAAGTCCATACATTATTAATGAAATTTTTTAATCATATAAGTGGAGTTAAAAACATGAGATATCACACTTTTTTAATTTATTTTTTTATTTTTGAATATATTTAAAGATATGTGACACTTTATTAGTTTTGTTTATGAAATTTAAAATTTTCACTATGTGTTAAATAATTTTTGGATTCAAAATATACAACTTAAATTTTTTTTTTAAAAAAAAAACTTATCTAATTCTTTAATAATAGTGTTGAGTTGACTAATAAATCTTTACAAATTTTACTCTCTTGTTGATAGATAAGTCCTCGCGCTAACACGGTAACTTGAGACACCTCCTTCCATATCTGCAAACAACTTGTATACTTGTTTCACTATCAGGCGGAGATAAATTAATTCCCTTTTCATCTTTCAAAGAAAATTTTTTTGGTCAGGTTCAGAGTAAATCAAAATTTTGAGGATTGAAAGATTAGAAGAGCTGATTGGGTTTGGAGCTTGGGGAAATAGGATAGATTTGATTATAGAAAATGAGGAGGGAAAGGAGAACGATGTTAAGTTTTAATATAACTCAATGTTTTGCTCAAGTAAAATAAAAGAGTCATATGGACAATTTTGGATCTTAGATTAGTAATTGAAAAAACAGTGAAGATTTCCAAAATAGTTTAATAGTGGAGAGGATTCTTTCCCAATTCATCTATTAATTTGTTTAATTTTTAAAATATTTTCATCATATGACAATATACTGCTATATTTTAAATCATATTTTTTACATTATTTTCTTATTTAAGTCATATTCTATACAGAAGAGGGAATAATTTTTCAAAATCATATCACTTTTTCAGTTTTTTTTTTTTTTTTTGGTTTTTCTCTGATTTTTTGGATTGAAGTTCTTAATTTTTTTAATTAACTTGGATTGATTCCAATTCAATCACATGTTAATTTAGAGGAATTTTTAAGTTTGATAGGATTTCGTCTCATTGAATAACGATTACTCCATTTATTTCATTTTTTCTCGAAATTATATCTTTATTTAAACACTTAAAAATTTTACTTTTTTATATTTTAAAATCATTTTTGATAATTTTTTTAGTTTTAATATTAATACTATGGAACATCAGTTTTATAAAAAAAAATTAAAAATTTAATATTAAATACACTAAAATCAATATATATTTTTTTAATTCTGTAAAAATAGACAAACAAATAGGGAGTGAGGAAATAATAATACTAATGAAATGAAAGTAATCCAAAAATTAAATCAGAGAATTAACATTGCGGAATTCAATGATTAAGGTGCATTTTGTACCTAGCTTTTATACCTGGCAGAACTTCTTGAAGAAATTAATACATACATACATACATGTTTAAATGAAAAAGGAAATTTAATTTTAATTAAACTATATTAATCTTTTAAAAAGTCTGCATTATAATTTAAATGATGCTTTCCAGATTGATTGCATGCCTTAGTAGAAATTCACTTAATTTAGCTACAAAAAATGAAATTAATTTAATCAATTTATTTGGACCACGGATGTAAGAGTATTCACCTGTAACTCAAGACATGAAATATAACTTCCCAATTCACTTAAAATTTCATAATCAATCATCATCTCATTCCCTCCTCGTAAAATATTCCTTAGATATGTCAACCTCCTACTAATCTCCTCCTCCTCATCACTTTCCATTTCTTCTTTCATAGTTCCCTGCTTCATTCGATCTATTTTTTTAGCCCCTTTGGATCTCTCAGGCAATGTGACAAGAGTGATGAATAAAGGAGAGAGAGAGAGAGAGGGGAGTCTGTTGTCTAATACCTTCAACTGCAGAGAAGAAAAAGGATGGAGAACAACTGTTTTTGTTTAGGACGCGCAGCAGCTTGAGCATATAGGTAGGTCTTATATTATAAATAAAAAGGAATGGTAATTGGTGATGCGGTAGAGTTGGTAAAGTTCGAATATTTCGTTTATAAGATCTAGATTTAAATCTCTTTATCAATAATTCCTTTCAGTGAATGATTTATAAATTCAATATAAATTCTCCCTTTGATTTTTTTCTGCCATAAAAACCTCCCATCGCCTGAACATTTTAGACAAGAAAAGGGATATATGTTATATGTGCAAATGTGACCTCTTATTTCAGTTAAGGTCACCCCCTCCTAACCCACACACAATCACGCTCACCAACCGACTTTGACATATGGACTCCAGCTAATATGAATTGGGGTGGTAAAGAAATTCAATCAGCAAAAGTGATAGAGTCCAAAATGAGGAGTAGATCACGGATGGACGGATGGTGGGGATGGGGGTATGTTGAGATGCTGAGAATGGGATGAGGGGGACGGGGGTATGTTGAGAGTGGGCACATGGCCTCACATGCTGCTTTTGCCTTCGTTTTTTCTCCTACCTAAGGAGGCCATGTGCACTAAGCTACAAAACAGCACCCTAAAGCCCCACTATAAATGCACTCACATGACTCCTCTCCTTAATTACTTTCAATACGATTTTCTCTTTTTTCATCTTCCCCATTCAATTCCATCATCCTTTTTCTCCTCTCATTTCAATTCACCCAGCTCATATTCCTGCTATATATTTTCTTTTTATGTCCTTTTTTCAACCATCTTCGTGCATATGCAGATTCTTTATCTATCCCCTATTCCATCTGACAAAAACCTTTTTGCCAACACCTACAAAGGAAAATAAACTTAGCGTAGCTAATAAGACGAAGAATCAAAACAACCCCACTTATTCCCTTCCTTGTTTATTTGGCCTTGTTATCTCTGATATACTCAGTTAATGCTCCATTGGAAGAAACAAGAATCTGTCTGTCACTACTTCATTGAGCTTATTAGAAACGAACAAATACAAAGGATGAGAAAAAAAATTGGAGAAAATTAAAAATTGATTTGAAATTATAGTATTTAATTCAGTTTGAATCAAATTTTTTCTTTGGTTTGGATCAAGCTCAGATATTAAATTTATATATATTCAACTTAAATTAAATTTCGAATCCAAATATAAAAAATAAAAAAAATCAAACTAAACTGAGTTATATATTTTAATTAGTTCTTATATTTTTTTAAAATTTTTATAAAATAAAAAATTATTTTATATATAAATCTATTTAAATATATTAAAACTTTTATTAAAATAATATTGAAAAAATTAAAGTTTAAAAACCGAAAAATTGAATCGAATTAATAGAATTTGATTCAAATTGAATTATTTAAAAAAAATTAATTCAAATTTATATCGAATTTTAAAAATTTATAATATTATATATTATTCAAGAAAATCAAATTGAATCCACTTCCATCCATAATAACAACCAAGACAATGTCTACTAGCAACAACAAATTATAGCATCTAAAAGATCAAAGACTAAATCTAATTGTTTAGAAAAACAATCCTCGAAGCATATTCTTCAAGAGATTAGAAGAAAATAATGCTAAGAGTCAAAAAGTTTGAAATGATACTTGATCTTCCACCAAAGCCAAAATCTGCAAAACCGAAAAGAGGTTGTCTTATTGTTAGTGAAGTGATGCCCCTCAATCAATGTGGATTTTACTTTAAGCGCTAGTCTAGGGCACCGTATAACTTTCTTTTACAATTGACTTCAGATTTATGCCAACGATGATGGGAATTATGCATGGCTCAAAAATAAAAAATCTACTGAACAGTTATATACATTTATAACAAAAAAATAAATTTTAGACCTCACAGCTTATTTTCCCTTTTTTTTTTCGTACATATTTTCCTATAGTACTTCATAAAATGCTAAAAAAATCAAGTTAGTTTGTGGTTGCAAACATGATCACAAAAAAGAGAAGAAACCAGAGTATAATCATTTTCTACGCAAACATA